CTCGTATAATAGCAGTGATTTCCATATCGTTCTCAACCAGGTATTTGCTTTTAGCTAAGAATCTGCTGGGATCATAACAACTATCTAGAAAAACCGAGCAACGTGTCCAACTATTTCCAAAATTATGTAATAACCAGCAATTCTGCCATGGCTTTTGTTTGATGAACACAATTTTTCGTATTTATCACCTTCCAAAATCACGAATTAAGTAGAATTGCTCATTTGCTATAATACCGTTAATAAATATTTTTGGTCTTATTTGATTTATTTCGGTTTATTAACAATAACTGAGCGATTTACATCGAAACACATATAGTATCTCTGTCCCCTTGAACGTGAGTAGACCATGTTCGATTGGCCACTTGAAAACGTCTCCAGAGAAAAAATGTGCGCCGATGTGTTGGCTTGTCACTTTGGTAGACATGGTAGATGAACGAGCCAAAAGTATGCACTAAAACTACACGATTTCGGCGACAAACAATGTAATGTAAACATGTAGGCTTGACTCTTTCTAACCTACTCGAATTCCAACCAAAGACAGCCAACCGTGGACAGCTGTTCGTGCTTTTTTGCAACTCATCAGCATGATCTAGGCTTGATTTTTGGGGCAATTAACGAAAGCATAGCAACTATCCTCTATCCAAGGTATGGATCTTTCAAAACAAGACAGCGGAAACCGCCAACTATTACCAAAATCGACCACTGCGAGTGTATAGCAGCTATTGGTTGGAAGTGTAAAGAACTTCGGCCACGTTTGATAGCCCAGTTAGTAATGTGACCGCTAAATGGCTGACGATTCTGGCTGGCTGACAAGTGCGTTTAACCGTTAGTTCAAACTTCTACTGGTACTTAGTTTTTATCGCTCGCATTACCCATGCAACAAATTTGCTGATTGAAGTCAAGATATACGAATAGATGGAATGCATAGATTCACTGAACTACAAATCGTGTCATTCATTTCCGTCTGTCTGTCGGTCTGTCTACTAATGCAAGTTATAGACGGACTATATCTTGGAAAGTACCGCTCGAATCTTGATGGAATTTTCACACAAAGTTACTATTATGCCAAGGACGAAAAAGCGTTATAGATGTAACCAGCACTACAGGCCTTACGGGTCTAAGGCTTGATTGGATATTTTTCTCCACTGGTTCCTGTCCAAAGCCGCAGCCTTGTCTCAGCGATCTAATTCTTCGTGACTTTTCGTGTGCACTTAATGAAGGGCTTTTGTATAGCTCCATGATTTCCTCGTTTGCTCTTACCCATACTTCTGCAAATCTTTTTTTCTAAATACATATTCTTATTCTTCTATTGTTTTCTACTGCTCGGATTTTGATGAAATTTCAACATAAATTTGCTATTATGCGGACGAAAAAGCTTTTGAAAATCGATCAAATGGAGGCGAAAAAAATGACAAAATCGAAAAAAATGAAAATCGCTCAAATTTCATTTTTGAACGTTTCACGTCCCACGCAACTTAACGTACTATATGTGTCGAAATGAGACAGCATAAAGCGCCGTATATTATCAGAATCGTCCACTTGGTAATAGATGGTATGTTTCGCTGTCTTTCGTTCGTTGTTCCAGAAACCAAGCCTAGACCATGCTAATGAGTTTCCAAAAAGCTCGAAACAGCTGTATATGGCCTTTGGTCGGACGGACAAAAGCAGCATATTTAATATTTTTCTATATTACATCGCCACCTCTATTCAGACGAGAGGCTGAGCGCTGTCACCAAGGACCAAGCACACTGTTCCGACCTTCGATTCACATAACGAAAGCAGGGCACTAGGTGAGCCAAGTTTTGTTCTATAGAACGTCATTCGGTGAAGCTGAAGCTGCAGCTGAAGTGCGATGCACTCAGCTCCGTCGGAAAGGGCATAGAAACAGCGGGAAGTCGCAAGAATGCGGATGTCGGCCGAGTTTGTTATACTGATGACGCTTGCTTGGTTTATTGACGCAGGAGAATTGGAATATGGAATTTTATGTACAGTGCTTTCAGAAAGGTGTCCCTACTGATTTTCCCAACGTTAAGCTAGCAAGCTGAAATTCGTAGTAATGAAATTAATACTAAATTCAGGCGTAAAAGTGGCAGTTTAAAATTTCGAGATGGCGCTTGGAGGCCTTATAGAGACATCTTTTGAATGGGATTGCGGGTCGTATGATACCTCATTTTATGAGAACTTTATAACACTCGAATATAAAATGAGTACCTTTCAAAATCGTGGTCTGGCAGACTGTCAGAGTTGAGGGTCTTTGTACATTGAATCGCTTATAACTCAACAGCTAGTCGTCAAAACCAAACAGTCTTCTTCTTGTAGAAAGGTCTATCTAAATGTGCAATCAAATACGGGACATTCAGATTAAAAAATTACAGAATTTGACAATTTTTAATTTAATGAAACGTTCCATTTTACAATACATACTCGGATAAACCCCTAGAGAAGAGGATTGAGGTAATATACAGCTATTTGATGATTGGTTTTTGAGCTATATACAGGGTTATCCAAATTAAGTGTCCACCATTAGTAACTTTGTTATTAGTGAAAATACAAAGTTGTTTGAATTAGCAAACTAGTAGCATTTTTAACGCTGGTAAAAATGAGAAATAAAAAAAAACAATTGAGAGTCGTTATTTTGATTTTTTTCAGTAAAATAACATTTTTTTAAATGGAAACCCCTGTATATTATATTTTTTTCTGTTAAAGCATCAAATTTTAAACAAAAAAGTTCATAATGACTTTTCCGCTAAAGTCAAAAATAAAGTCAAAATAACGATAAATATTTTTAATTATTTGCAGTATTATAATATTAAGACGGCTATGAAAACAACATGGCGTTCGCGATTTGACAGCATTAAGATAAGCGACAAATTGTTAAACTGGACATACTCGCAACTAGAAGGCTTTGGAAAACAATGATAAAATCAAATAATGTCAAACATTAGTGTAAATACTTGTTTATAAGCTTTATTGTGTCATTAATTTAAAGAAAAATGTTCTCCCATGAAGAAAAGTGTGATATGTTAGAATGCTATTTAGTGTGCAGAAAATCCTCCTTGAGAGCAAGAGAATACTACAGTGAATTATATCCCGCTCGCATTCAACCGTATGAACGATATTTTCTGAGACTTTATCGAAAATTTAGGGGCAACGAAAATGTTTTTGCTAAAACAATGGCAAAAAAAGAATTCATAATAAGCGAGGCCACGGAAATTGCAGTTATTGGATATTTTGAAGCTTATCGTGAGAATTCAATAGCAGATATTCTCAAGGACTCTAATTTCAGTTATGGTACTGTTCAAAGGATTTTAAAAAAATACAAATTTATTCCGTATAAGTACCGACCAGTTCAAACGCTTTTGGCAGGGGATCCAGAGAGAAGACTTGTTTTTTGCCATTGGTATCTTAGCTTCTGTCGCCAAAATGTAAATAACTTTCGTTACCTTTTATGGACAGATGAATCAAATTTTTCAAATTCTGGAATGTTTAATAGAAAAAACCACCATTATTGGTCAAGAGAAAATCTTTTGTTAGTACATCCAAGAGGCCCACAAGTCCGTTTCAGTTTCAACGTTTGGTGCGGTATAATTGGTTCAAAAATTGTTGGCCCGTTCTTTTATGAGGGAACCCTAACTGGTGAAAGATATGTGAAATTTATGTCAGAAATTCTGACTAATTTCTTAGACGAATTGGATCTTATAAGTAGACATCATCTGCATTTTCAGCAAGATGGCGCACCTGCCCACAACTCCAGAGGTACTACTATCATTTTCTAAGTACTACTTTTAATGATCAGTGGATAGGAACAAATGGCCCAATACAGTGGCCTCCCAGATAACCAGATCTAAACCCACTTGGTTACTTCTTGTGGGGTTACTTAAAGAACCAAATTTACAAGCGAAGGTACGATAACCTTGACGCGTTAAAGACTGCAGTTAGGGAAAAGATAACCCAGATAGATGGTAGGACCATACTTAAGACAGTTCGAGCAGTTGAAAAACGTGCCCAAAAATGTATTGAAGAACAAGGTGGTGTTTTCGAGCATCTTCTTTAAAAAAAATTGTTATTGTATTTTGTAAGATTATAAGTTGATGTTGAAAATAAAGTTTGTCGATACAATTTAATTGTTTCAGATTGGAGGCCATAACTTCAACAATTTGTAACCTAGGAGAAAAGTTATTGTAAGCTTTTTTGTTTAAAATTTGATGCTTTAACAGAAAAAAATATAATATACAGGTGTTTCCATTTAAAAAAATGTTATTTTACTGAAAAAAATCAAAATAACGACTCTCAATTGTTTTTTTTTATTTCTCATTTTTACCAGCGTTAAAAATGCTACTAGTTTGCTAATTCAAACAACTTTGTATTTTCACTAATAACAAAGTTACTAATGGTGGACACTTAATTTGGATAACCCTGTATAGGTGGCTTATTGTCCAAAATCGCTCGACTAAGGCAGCCTGCCAGTTCGCTATTTCGAAATATTTATATTCTAGGGCTATAAAGAACTAATAAGGAGCTTCCAAATGAGGTAGCGCACGACCCCCCCATTTCATTTACAAATGTTCCAAAATGGCTCCCAGTTGCCATCTTGGAACCTTCGACTGCTACTTTTACCCTGAAATACAGTATCCATGCCTTAATATCCTTGCCCCTAATTACAGCTGGATAACTTGTTCAATAGTAGGAAGGGACCTTTTCGAAATGCATCGTATTAATACTGTAAAGCGTGGTTCGAGATTTAAATTTCGCGCTATTTTTAAACGACGTTCCCTCGACATTTTACAAAGGGGTATGTTAAAAGTAAAATGGAAGTGGTTGAAGATTTTTCCCTGGCTATTCAGTGGCGACTTGAATTTGATCTTGACCTTGACCTTGAATCTCAAATCAAGACCAAGACGATTTTTTTAATGGGACCCTATACTATTGATCCCAAAATTGTTACGTTAAGATATGATCGTGGGTGAAAGTTGTTTTATAGCAATTCTATTTTGTTACAGGCATAATCGAGAAGAACACAACCTGCGGCTTATGCTGGCCGAGAAAGAGAGGTCCAGGTGCTATAGCAGTTGGACCTCCTCAATGTCCTCACAGCCAGGTGTCAAGCACCAGGAGCTCAATTGCCAGTTCGCCACATAGTCAGTGTCCTACGCCTCTGCCGTTTCTTGTCAATTCTGGATCTGCTGGGTAAGTTGACAGCTCATGTTCTCATACAATAAAGGGTCTTCTTAGAAGTCTCAAGATAATAGAGTTATTAGGTGCCGAAAAATCTGCTTATCTGCGTCTCTGTTTAGGCTAAAAGATAGGACGTTCGTCAGAATCTACACCGCGTCGTGTAGGTAAACAGAGATGTTTGTGTATAAATCGGATTTGAAGAAATAGCTGATTTATATGTATAGAAATAACGAGCGTAAGTAGTTAGAATATGCCAGTTGACCAACCTTCTATTGTCTTAAGCCCCGCCTCCCAAATACCATGGTGATTCAGCGATCTCCTATTGTTTCAAGCTTCGCCCCCCAAAATGCAGTGCCGACTTTAATGCCTCTCAAATACCATGCTGTCTATTTGATGCAACTTTTCCTAATTCCAACCTATGAACTCTGTAAAACAATAGGAAGTTGCTGAATCGGCTTGGTATTCAGAGGGTGGGGCTCAAAACAATAGGAGGCTCCAAAACTGGGATTGAAGATCACTTTCGAATCGCTTTCTAGTTGCACCACGTCGCGTCGTGGGCACTTACCACTGTACCACCGTAAAAGGACCGTAAGTTGTATACGAATCGCTTTGGTGGCATGGTGCAACTATAAAAGCGAACGCCGCCAGATGGGGCATCAAGCAGCTTGAGAGAACAAAGAGACAGTGGCGTGGGTATTATTGAAATTGCTTTTAAATCTTTAGTTAGCAATTCGAGTCAAGAAAGTTCGTTAGCAGCTGGTGCTATAGACTAATTGGTTATGTCGTGCTCCACGGAATGGTGGAGATGCGGGCTCGAATCCCGCCGGTGGCCATTTTTTCCTTTCTCTCAAGGTATTGTGTACTAAATATTCTAACGTGTTGTGTAGATGTTAGCTTACGGTGAATGGTTTGAGGGTGTTGCTGATGCATCGCGAGTATGTTCAGATCGTTTTCCTGGATGTTTCCATCCCGTCGAGGTCAACGTATAGTAAATTTTGCCAGTTTGCTAGTTGTAGTATACATATCGTATCATGTAGACCTTACAGTGGAGCACAGAAGCTCCTAAAATAGGTTTTCATTATAGATACATACGAGTACATAGATAGTTGTTCCATTAATATCTCTGTAATATTAAATGCATTGTCCCATACAATCAAAATCTCGATTGCAATCATAGCCTGTTTCAGGCATATTCGATACTGAGTGCACACATCACCAAATCAGCAAGAGCTTTATTGGACAGGCCCAATTAAAACCGGTTTTTATTGTTTCAAAGGGTTACATGTTCAGTGTGTAGTTTTTTCAGTTAGGAAAAGCAAAAAATATTCTAAAAATAGAGACAGAAAAATCAATTTAAAATGACCAAGGCGTGTTAAGGCGAAAACACATTTTTGTGTCGTTTCACTCACATATTAAAATCTAAATTGGTGGGTTGATAGAACAATTGATAACGCTACACTTCTAAATACATATCCTTCTTTGCATAAGCAGGGTTTCACGTATGAGCTTGCGTAATAGCTCGTGAGTTTACATTATGTAGCAATAATGTATTCTCACTCTCAGAATCATTAATGATTGTCAAATGAACATCCTATATATTTTCACAATCTGTAATTCCTCTTTGCTCAAGCGTTTTTCAGGTATAAGTTTTTAGGGGTTTGTACGGCTGGTTTTCGAGTTACAGCTAACCTTTTTGTAAATCAGATATAAGGTAAATGAAAAATATTACAGTTCCTTTCAAAATAAAAAATAGCATTTAGATGGTAACGCAGATCATTAGAATTGGCGTATTACTTCTACTATGAATCAAATCTACCCAAATCCTATGCAATAAAGTAGAAAAGTCAAGACGGTCTGCTGACGTTTTTAGTAACTCAAAAACGAGTCGTACATACCTCATGAACTTTAAATGAAACAAAAAGCTTGTGAAAATGGGAATCAAGGAAGGTGAAAATATACAGGGGGTTCGTTTTGAGAGTTTTGAGAAACAGTTCATTTTGCTTTCTTGCACTTCCTGCAGTACAAACCGCCAAGAAAACTAAAAAAGTGAGCAGGTAAAATTCCCGCGCGGTGAGCTGGGCGGGTAGAGGGGCGAGAGGCGGCGCATCTGGAGGGGGAAGTTCCCAAGTTTATTTCTCGCTCCAGTCAGTTGCCATCATGCTCTGGTCTAGAGAACAGCGGGCCTTCGCAGTCGAGAGCTTCTTTTCTAACGGTCGCTCAGTTGTTGCTACGCAACGTGCCTTCCGCGCTCGCTTTGAAATTCCTCCTCACAGACTCGTTCCTGGCCGTAATTCGATTCTGTCGTGGGTTGACTCATTTCGGGAGTGTGGAAGTGTCGCTAAACCCAGAAATGGACTTCAACGGACCATCAGAACTCCGGAAAATGTCGAAAGAGTGAGGCAGTCAGTTGTGCGTTCTCCCCGGCGTTCGGCTCGCAAACACGCAGCTGCTATGGGAATTTCTGACACTACTGTTCGACGAATTCTCCATGAAGACCTCCATTTTCATCCCTATAAATTGGCTGTTGTTCAAGAATTAACTGAAAGCGATTTTGTTGCCCGTCAAAATGCATGTGAAATGCTGGTTGACAACCTGCCTGAAGACGCGGTCGTTTTTTTCAGTGACGAGGCTCACTTCCACATTTCCGGCTGCGTCAACAAGCAAAACATGCGTTATTGGTCTGGTGTGAATCCACGTGAGCTTCACCAGAAGCCACTTAACTGTGAGCGAGTTACAGTCTGGTGTGCGATGTCGGTAATGGGAATAATTGGTTCTTATTTTTTTGAAGAAAACGGACGCGCAGTTACCGTGAATGGAGCTCGTTACAGGAACATGATCGAGGAATTTTTTCTTCCGAGACTCGAAGAAATGAACGTTAGGAACGTGTGGTTTCAGCAAGATGGAGCCACAGCACACACCGCACGAGACTCGATGAATTTGTTGCGACAACATTTCCCCGACCGCCTCATCTCTCTCAGAGGCGATCTCCAATGGCCGGCACGATCTCCAGATTTGACTCCCTGCGATTTCTTTTTATGGGGTTATTTGAAATCTCTGGTTTATGTCAATCGACCACGGACCATAGCACACCTCAAGAACAACATTCGCGACGCCATTGCCAACATACCGATTGATATGCTGCAAAGAGTGGATACGAATTTCAAAAATCGACTTCATCAGTGTATGCGCAATGGAGGTCGCCATTTATCCGATGTCATTTTCAAGACTACATGAAAAAAAATTGGGATATTGTATTCTCGAATAAAAAAAAAATAAAACAATAATTGAAGTAATTTTGTTTTTATTGACCTTTCAAATAAGTAAGTTTCTCTGGCGCACCCTGTATAATCATGAAATGTGACCAAAAATTCAGTACTCTATGTTACCTATAACAGTTGCGGATATGCTAGTTGTCAAAGTTGTCCAATATCTCAACATTCAGAAAATAAAACCATATAGTAGATCATATCGAATTGCTTCGTTTGTAAAGGTCTTTCCACATCTGTAATAAAATGTAGGGCTTTCCGTTAAAAAAAAATGTTTATTTAGATCACCACGTGGTTACGGACCATCCTGTACAGATAAAAATATATTCCAACTCAGCCCACGATTTTTAGAATTTCGCGGTTTTAATGACATTTGCATTCTGTTGACTGTACTAATAGATTTCCTGGGCATTGAAAGGAAATATGCAAACACTACTACGTGATAGGACTGTATTTCATCCTTTCTATTGTGCACTGATGTCAATATACTCAATAATAATATACGTACAACAACTGACTGCCTATACAAAGAGTAGTAGTATCACTCGCTGGTCAGATCAGTTTCTTTTGTGTTCACTATAGACGAGGCTAATACATCGCATTCTTAGGATAAATTTTCCTACTTTTTTTATAATCACATTTGTTGGATGCTCCTAAAAGGAAGCATGGGATTGACGGGCGATAATCCGTCACACTGGACAAATCTATTAAAACAAATTACAAGAAATCGTTTTTTTTTAGGCCTGACAATAATTATTGTTGGGTTCTTAAACCATTCTAAACAAAAAAAAAGGGTGACTATGCACTTCACACGCAACGCCATCAGTTCAGAAAGGATTATTTTCAACAGAAGGTAGTCTCTGAGAGAAAAGTTAGCTACAGATGCGTGTAACAGAGAGCACTGATATTTCAAAAAAAGAAGTTTGGCCGATTTCTACTTTTTATTCGTTATATGACACGTACATCACGGAAAACCATGTCAATTATTTCCCTCGGTCTGTTTGTCGGTCTGTCTGCTAATCTTATATTCTATAACTTGAGAAGTACCGCTCGGATTTCGATGAAATTTTTACACCAGGACGCAAAAGCTTTGTGGCGGCTGATATAAAGTCCTAAAACGAAAATAGTAAAATTCGCTGACACCTTGTTTTTTTATACTTACGTGGTTTGCCAAGCATTGTTTTAAGTATCCACCAAGAATGCCATAGGCGAGATTGGATTGAACCAAAGCAAAATACTAATACTCTAGAATGTCTGAGCTGAATCATTTAATATTTGGCTGCATCCCCGAAAATTTCTACTTTGCACCTTGGCTAGTCAGGCAGGACTAGGCTCCACCTTTCTTTCTATGAACCTTGGCAACATGGTTTCAGTAGTACAGAAGAGTAAATTGTACTTGAATAATGCTACCGTCGGTACAGAAACATCGTACAATGAAGAAGAACTTTAAACATATGTGATTTGACACATGAACATGGAGGAATATAAACATAAAAACGTTTGACCCTTCTATTTCTGTAAGTATGAATACTTTCCCACAAGAGTCATACCGGTCTGGCTAATAAGTTATTGACATTGGCCGCCCGTATAAGGCCACGCTGCTGTTGCAGATATCGTTGAGACACACCCAATATCAGGTTACAGAATGCCTTTGTTTATTTATTGTCATGTTATTTTGTTTGAGCGGGTTGCAGTCTGGTTACTATCATGGGCGTTGATATGCAGGGGCCAGCGCATAGTTTTTTT